CAGGCATGTCTTTTCAATACATCGATACATGCAGCACCGAGATTTATCAAGACCGCCGCCTAGTATGGATATACACGGGGATTTGAGGTTGACATGTTTCTTGATTTGTGTAGGAACTTAGGAGGTTCATGCTTCAACCGTGGGCGACCGGGCCCCCCGAGAAGTCGGGCTTTTAGTATGCTTAAGTTGCCGTTAGTACGTTAGTATACAATAATTATTATATGTCATCTGTTTGAGATTTCATTATATTTGATCATTGAAAAATCTTTAAGCACAAGGATTAAACGAAGAAATTATTATATGTCATTTATAAAAAATAATTACAGCTTTGTTGGTGACTTTCAACAATGATACTTAGTTCATCTCAGTAGTATTTGTCAACTCTACATTTCTAATCCCATTTTTTTCTCACAAACATTTCATCGAACATCTATGCTTCACCTGAGATGACTTGTATCTAACATTACACCTTGAATCGTTGATGGTTCCGATAGTCCCTTGGTCGGGTCTTCTCTCAATGGACCCTTATTCAAATCAACACCTCCACATAATTCAATGTTATATTAGAATTTCTCATGCATCCTCAACTGAAAAGTTACGTTGAAAATGATAAGAGAGAAGCGAAAAAGGAAATTCGAGATCAAAAGAAATTTGGGGTTTATAATGAAATTTAGGACTGTGTTGCAAGTTTTAAAAGTTGAGGGACCTAAATGCAAGTATCTTAAAAGTTCAGAGACCATATTACACACGTACTAACGGCAGTGTAACGCCGTCAAACGATCGGGGACCATATTACAAACATACTAAATGTTAGGAGACCATATTGCAAACAACATAAATGTTTGGAGACTGTATTGCAAGTTTTAAAAGTTAGAATACTTAAATGAAAAATTTAAAAAAATTTAGTGACCATTACTATACTTTACCCTAAAAATAGTGTATTTTATGGCTTCATTACAATAATTATTTTTATTATACTTATCAAATAGTATTTTTTTTATTTATATTATATCCAAATACCATATTTTCTCTCCCGATTATGAGTTTCATGGCGTATATAACTTCGAATCTAGCCACAGGTTAGGGTTTTCCATTCCCTTCAATTTATCATCACGTTCATCTTCAATTCCTAACCCTCATCTCCAATCTCTGAGAAGATATCACCCTAAAAGGTATTTCATCCTAAATTGCACATTTCCCCAATTTTTAATTCATTTTTATTTATTTTAATTAATTACTCATGAGCTTTCGTGGTTTGTAAATATTCATGTTTATAGGGAAAGTCTAGCTCAATTTCCCCATTTGAATTCATAATTGATTATAATAGAGAATCCCAATGATCGCTGCATTGAATTTTCCTGTAAGATAATTGAATGGCATAGTTGGATTGATTTTCTTTTCAAGTTTTGGTTGTTTTTTGACTTGATTTTCTTTTCCTTTTTTTTATGGATTGATAGTTATTGGTCTTGATCTCTATCTCGATTTTGTTCTTGACCAAATATTGGACGAAACCCCATATTAATAGCTATGGATTCGGAGAGTGAATGCTCTGTGGTTGAATTTTTGGAGGCTGATGAATCCCCTCAACACACTGTATCTCATGTTGATGCTAATGAAATCAAGGATATTCACGTTGATGATTGCAACAGTAAGGATATTGGGCTATGCACAAATGATAATCAGACACAGAGGATGTCCGCTGATCAACGTGTTGGTTCCGGTGATTTCAAGGCTGATAATCATGTAAATGGTCCTGCTGGAATCCTGCATTCATCTGCTTCACCGGCTAAATCTACCACCAAAGGCTATGGGTTGAAGAAATGGAGACGTATCAAGAGAGATATTGTTAAGGATCCAACTGCTGCTATTGATGATTCTAAAGTTTTGAAGAGAGGTTTGTCTGGTTATGAGAATCCAACTAAACCTCCACATATGACATCAACTGAGATCAAGCAGAATAGTGGGCCTCATATTAGACCTGTGAATACATCAAAGAACGTGAATATTGCTAGTGGGTTTGTGATGCACAGCCCTGGTTCAGATTCCACCGAAAATAGTGAAGATCAAAGTAGCAAGTCTTCTACCGCAGCCAGTATGCCACAGGTCCTGCCTACAGTTCTTGGGTATGTGCACAGGAGAAACCATATGAAGAATTTTAGTGGGAAGAATGTGTGTAATTCAAGTCCAAGAGTTCAACAGGGAAAGAGTTTTGTTGAAATCAATAAGAAGCCAAGAGCTGAAAGTGCCAAAATCAAGAAGGAAGGCTCTCCATCCAGCGTTGGATCTGACTCGAGAAGCTCCAACTTTGACTCTATGCCAAGTACATTTGCAGCGACAAGTAATGGAAAGCAAAGTGGAAGCTCCTTGAATCTTGATGGAAAAATGTTGATGAAGCTCATGAATATGAAGACCAGACCAATGAGGAAGTACAAACTGCTTATAGGAAAGAAAATTCAGGTGAAATTGAAGAACTTTCACCGGATGATTTAGCTGCAGATTTGTCTCGGGAGGCTAAGGAAGAAAAAAGTGAGAATCACCGACTTTCACCAAATCAAGACCCATTGGTCAACTCTATTATTTCTCTCCAATCTGTCCAGGAAGCTCTTGAAAGTGGTGGGTGTGTTTATCCTTATACTAACTTTGATAAGCCTTCGTCCTGGCTTACTAATGTCTGCTGTTCATTGCTCTGCAATTCCTGCTTGATAGTCATACCACTTAATTTGCTCATATTTTTCAGTTAGCTTATTAATTTGAAAATCCTCTGAAATATTTCCCTAAGTATTTACTTAAAGCAGTTGATTACTATACCCTTTGTTTCAGCATTGGACTAAGATTGAAAATAGTTGTTCTTCATAAAGTCATTTGTTGAAGGCAAATTTTGAAAATTGCTATACCATTCAGACTATTTTGTCTCACCTTCTGTTAAAGCTAATCCAGATAGCAGAAGGGAACTTAGGCTATATAACGTTAAGTTAGTAAATCATGCAGTGTAATTGACTTCAATAGTGATCAAGTATCTAATAATGTCCTGATATCATCAAGAAAAAAATTCACCCGAAAAGGGATTTTGATGATTTATGATCTTCGGAAAGCAGTGAGTTAATTCATGGAAGAATGACAGTAGTGAATTTTGCTGGTTTTTGGTCAATGTTAACTCAGGGTTGTAAGAAGGGATTGATTGATTGATATTTTTAATCATTTTGATTATTGAGAAATCTAGGATTTTCTTCTTGGTAGTCACTGTTTGTATATTTTACTAAATACCATAAAGAAGTGTAGGACTACAGTTCATTCTTGGTGGAGTCATTGTTGATTGTCTATTTTACTAAATACCATAATCATATGGCGTCCAGGACTAGAACATACACGTTTTCATTCTTGGTGGAGTTGATTTTGATAATCTTTTTAACTAAATTCGTCTTCTTTCTTGATATCTTAATTGCCGTGTCCTGTATTGTTTTAAGTTTAATGGGCAGTTTTTTTCCTAGCAGAAATACATAAATTCGAGGAGATTGGAAAGGAACCTACATCTCTAGATGATGGTTCAGTCAACATGGAAAGCGTTCATGCGGATTCTACTTTTGTTGATCAGGAAACTAGCTCATCAGGTTCCTTGGAAACTCAATCATTCACCTTAAGACACAAAGTAAAATATTTGGAGAGCAAACTGGAGGAAGCAAGGACTGCACTGCGGGAAAGAGAGTCGATGATTTCCAAACTGGAAACCAGTGTAAATGGTAGCAGGTTAGAGTTGCATCAAGATAAATACAGAGAAATGGAATCCGACCTTGACGACCTCTTTCAACAGAGAATGGAGGCTGAAATCGAGTTCATCGCTCTCATGAGAGCCTTAGAGAAGTTAAGAGTCTCTGTAGGCAATCGTCAAACCACATCATTCAAGGAACAAACATCCTTATCCGGGGAGCAAGCACATTTGTTGAATAAGCTTGGAGAGGATGAGTTCGAGAAGTATTACGGAGTCGCCTCAGGTACCGGCAAGACTTTGAAGATGCCGAGGAGAGTATGTAAGGTGACATTGTGCTTTTTTACACAGCTGGTATTACTGGTTTTCGTGTTCTTGCTCGTCGTCTTGCAGTTGACACCCTATTCGGGGGTGGAGGTTCCAACCTGAGTTTTTTCAGTGTATGATCCAAATGTAAGATTTGATTGTTATTATAGTTAGAGCCATGTTTTTACCTTCTCCTTGCTTATTGACTTGAGTTGAGCTTCTCTCTCTATATGTATATTAGTAATATTAGAAGGTTGTTTATATGACACATGATGTATCCATGCTCTTTAAAATTGTCATAAGAATGTCCCATATAGAGATGAAGAAAATTTAACGAAAGGGTGTTGGCACACGTGGTTGAGATTCAAGAATTTGAGCTGGTAAAATCAGGTTCGAACTTTATTACCATCACTTTTGGTAGACAATCTGTAAATCCTAATTAGGTCTTACGTGAAATTTAATTTGACTTGAAAATTTCATTTTTTTTCTAATTTTGAGTTAATTAGTTATTTTATTTATTCAAATTAATTTGATTCTTTTAAGTTTCAATAAGTTTAAATTTTATAATTCGAAAATTTAATTTTACAAATCAAATTGAAAATTCCCTAATTTATAAAAATTATTTTATTTTTCAACATCGATATATCTTAATTTACATATTTATATGGCCCTTAAAGTTCATTAGAAGTCTAAAAAAATTGGTTAAATAAAGAAATATTGATGTTGAAAAATAAAATTAAGAAAATAATGATTTAAAATCGAATGTAAATGACCATCTCTACATCTATAATTTATTTTTCAATTTTTTTCTAATTTTATAAAAAATCTATAAAATATTAAATAAATAAATTATTAATTAGTGATATATTATCTAATAAAATTATTCTATATTAATTATTTTCTTTACCATTTATATTAACTAACAAAAACACAAATTGATGTGAAAAAAATTATTAACTAACTGTACTATGATTACTATTTAGTTTATAAGAGAGAATACCTAGAGCGCTTCATTCCATAACACATCCTTCTCTTCTACTCATGACGTCATCGGTCGGTGGCGGAGGCAGATACATGGCCTTCTCTCCGTCGCCTTCCGCCCCTCACTCTCCCCACCTCTCCGGCCTTCGTTCCGCTGCCATCGCCGCTGCTCGCCTCGATCAAGAGAAGTAAGCTGTTTGGTTTTCTCCTCTTTTTGTCCTTCCATTAATTTTAATCTGATCGTTTGCGATCTTCGCTTTGCAGATAACGTAGTGATCTTGGCTCTGATCTTTCTATTTTCCTTACGATTGGTTGGCTTATTGTTATAAAATGTTTTTTTTCAAGCTCACTTCTGCTGCAATTTCGTAGATCTAGAGCTTGATCGTTCGTTTTTTGATTGATTATGCATTTCGGTTCGATTTTATTGACGGATCAGTTCAAATTCTGGAGTCGATTAATTATAATATTATATTTTTACACTAATTCAGTTATCCACAATATCTGATTTGCAAAAAGGTATTCTGACTGACATCCACAAATAACTATTGCCATCCCTGCAGAAGAAGCTAAATAAACTGGGGATTGTTTGAAGTTCTCATTACTGACTTTCGTTTCAACTTTAACGTCACCTTGTTTAGATGGATGTGTTAATCTATTATTGACTATGGTTTCTCTTTTCCCTTTCGTAGATATCTCTCGGAGTTACTGGAGGAGCGTTACAAACTTACTCCTTTTTTGTCAGTGATCCCTCATACGTGTAGACTGTTGAACCAGGGTTAGTTCGTCTAAGTAACAATCTTCTTTTTCTTGTCAAAGGATCATGCAGAAATATCTCCTTCCCTACTCGTCATCACTAAAACATCAATTTAAGCTAACGGTAACTGCCAAATACTAACTCGACAAGTAACTCGCTGGAAATGGTAATTAAGATCCACTAACTCAAACTCTATTACTAAATCTCCCTTTGAAGTTAATTCTATTGGTAAATCTTGTGAATGAAATTATCGCCCTTGTGTCATGACAATCTGTTGATAGAACTAACTATGTCCGATGTAGTGGACCTGTGATTGATGTTCAACTGAGATCGCCTTTGATTGGATACTTGCATACTCTTTTCAATTTATTTTGGGTGAAGCAATGATTACAACATAAATATGGTTCTAAATTACTTAAAAAACAATACAGTGATGTTACAAGAACTTTGATGCCCTTCTATGTAACAATGGATGGTTAGACATTTCGTAGGAAGGAATGGAAGTGAAGGATAAATAAGAAAGAAGAGGATGCTACTGCTGTGATAAATAAGGGAGAAGAAGAGAATAGGAACAAAGAGGGAAGAAAAATGAAGTTTCTGAAACACACTAACGGTGGTGAAGGAAGAGAATGGATATAAAGAAAGAGTTGCAGAGGGGAAAGCTTGTGGTTCTGCTGGTATTTATCTTAGGAAGAGTATGGTGGTATTCTCATACGACCCCAAGGTATCGTGAGGAAACTTAAATCTTGGGGAACTTGCCTGTAAGATTCAGTTCTTTTAGGTTAGTTGTGAGAGACTTTAGTTGTCAAACTCTAGCCACAATAGATGGTGTATGTTTATCTCTTCGATTGTACAAAAGCCGCCTTGCAACAATGTGCTAATGTTTGGTGTTTGTTGTGTTCTTTTTCCTTTTCATCTTCTATGATATCTGATTCTAACAGTTTCTTTGGTTGCTCCATGGTTCTGTGGGATAGTAGGTGAAATAATTATTTTTAATTAATGTAAAAATATTTATTATTGATTTAAAAGTAAAACCAATATAAAATTGTGTTGCATCTTTCATTTTCTACTAGATTTTCAGGGAGAGTAGCTTAATTCATGAAGCAGAGCTGATATTTAACTGACTACTTTAACATTGCGTATAGTCCATTTTGTGGTGACTGCTAACTGATTTTTTAACTCTAACTGGTACATCTTATTCTTGAAAATGACATTTTTGGAGCAGAAATTTCGCGTATAACTACACTGTTGGGGAATGCATCAGTTTTAGGTCAAAGTGGGCTTGAACAAGCTAGCCCCCTGACTTCTGGAGGAATGTTTTCAAATGGAAGAGCTGATGTGAACAGATTGATATCACGGTTTCAATCAAAAGTGGCTACTAACCATTAACATAACTCTTTACCATCTAATTTACTGCTTTTAGAGGCTTTGCTGACTTAATACTTTACTACTTTCATGCTAACCTAACCTTATTTAATATAGCTTGTATTGTGCTTTCTCTTTTGACAGGAAATCTGAGGCTAACTTGAAGAAGTCCTGAAAACTAATTTTATCTTAGAAAATGTTTCAGGCTCGTTCTCAGGTTTCTATCATTGTCAAGACAAAATCAGATATGTCGGGGATGATAGCTAGCTGTAGTATTATATGGTTTTAAGCTTCAGTTCTTTTAGGATGGAAGCCTGAAAATGTTTCGAGTGTGAGACGGTGCACGTTAGGAGTTGGATCAGAGTGCTGTTTTCCGAATTGTGTGCTTTATAGATGACATTAATAACTAAACACATTTTTATCCACACCCCCACCCCCACCCCCAAAAAAAAAAGTGGTTTACAATGTTTCAGTTTCCTTTCATATATTTTGGAAAGACTATATTACTCGTATTTCTTAGACTCTGCTTAGTATTCCAAAATGTTTGGATGAATGATTGTTAGTAGGAACCACATTCATCTGAAAACTCTTATATGCTGCTTTAGACTAAATAGTCCTGAACCTCAGGTTTATTCATCTGTGATATTCTTTGTCAGATCAATCTTTGTACAATGGAAGACGTTTGCATTTATCTGTTAATATGTCTTATTCTTGTTTAACAAAACCTTGATATATGGTGCAGATACCGGGGTCAATGCAGCCCTCTCTAACAGAGAACTGGCTGAATTCTCAGGGTAGCTCTTCCGGTCTATTGTTAAGAGAACAATCAGAGTGGATTCCTGTTGACAAATATCCCAATGTATGAATGAACTAGTCTTCACAGTGTTTTTATAACATTTCATTTTTTTGTGTCTAAATGAATTTAATGTTGTCAGTACAATTTTGTTGGGCGCTCCTTGGTCCTAGGGGAAACTCTCTTAAGCGTATTGAGGCCAATACGGATTGCCGTGTCCTTATAAGAGGACGGGGCAGTATCAAGGATCCAGCTAGGGTAACGAGTCTTTCTTTGCACTATTATGAGTAATAATTGCTCCTTAAATAAGTTTGAAACTATTTGATCATACTTTAAAAAAATTATTAAAGTGAAGTATCGAGTTCTTAAAATATGGATAAACTTAATGACCGTCGTAAAACTTGTGAAGGAGGAATTGTTGAGAGGAAAACCTGGCTATGAACACCTGAATGAACCTCTTCATATCCTAGTTGAGGCAGAATACCTGTTGAAATAGTTGATGCTCGCCTAATGCAAGCACGGGAGATACTTGAAGATTTGCTGAACCGTGGTTTTATTTACCCTAGAAAAGATCTGGTCTGTCTTGGGGTCCTTTCTTTTGGCATTATCGAACTGTAGACTGCACCTTGTTCAATGCTCCGGCCGAGCAAACCATCGATGCTTTAGAAGCCTTCCCTGGATCTGTTTTCAAGTGGTCGGAGCTGCCTGGCCTTGACCCTCTCTGTCTCTCCCCCCTCTTCCTTTTCCTTTCCCTTTCCTCCATGTATGACCGATAATTTGCATGTTATGTAGTATTGAAGGCCGACTGAAGTGATTCCGATTTTCAGCTGAGCGCGGATCAATGGTGGTCCTGGTTAATACGGCAAACAGGTAAAATGGTGGTCCTAGATTGATAGTGCAGTTTCAATTTACCAGTCAGGTTTTTGATCACTTACAGAATGCGATCCGGAAGAAAACGTGGTCCAAGATCTCTAAATTTCCACGATTACCATTTTTCAAATAAGATATATGACCAAGAAAATCTTCTGAATAAACCGAGAAAAAGGCTACGGATCAAAGTCCAATACACTGATTCCTGATGTGTTCTGGGCAATCCAACCGTTTAGGCAAATTTGCTTGGATAGGGCATTGAAAAAAAATTGAGTTCTTTTCATTTGAAGGGTGCACATATTATTCTTTCAAATACGATGAATGCTACGGTGGTCGTCGAAAGTAAGTCGGGCATTGGAAAAAAATGATTTTTTAATTATTTTTTCAACAGTGGATTATTAAATTAAAATTTAAACTAAACGTTAAATAAAAGTTAAGTATCAAAACGAAACAAAATAATAATTCAAGTACTAAGCATTTTAAAACCTCCGACCCGATAAAAAATAAGGATTTAATTAAAATATAATATTTTTTTAAAGTAAATTATATTATTATTCTCGGGTCAAGTCGGATCGGAGTTTTTTACCCGAACCTAAACATAACCCAATCTCATCCTTTAAAAAAATCAACCTAGCCCAACCTAAACCAAAAATTTTTCTAAAAAATCGACCCTAATTAGACGGGTAAGTCGAAACCCTTCAAACTCAAGTTCCCATATAGGCCTCATTTTGGATTTTCCAATATATATTCCGCTTAGGCCTCATTTTAGGGTTTCCAATACCTTTAGGCCCATTTTTGGAAACCACTTTCTATATGAAGAAAATGAACATTTTGGATAACAATGGTGAGCCAGTGAGCGACCTACACTTACACTCAGCTTCTCCTACCTTCATCTCCTTTTCATTTTCTCCAATCCAATACTGAAATTTGCAATGGCTGTATCATCAATCTCTTCAACACTGTTCCCTCCTTTAACAATCCCAAATTCTCCTTCACCCAACCAGGGCTCACATTTCATGTCGGCTTCGCCACTCTCTGTCGACCCCATGAAGCTCCCCAATTGTTCCATCAAGCTTTCACAGTCCACCATTAATGTTTTTGCCGCCCCTGAAGATTTGGTAGAGACTTCCGAGGTTCGAAAAAAAGTTTGTTTTTTTAGTAATTTTGAGAATTTGGGAATTGAATTTTATGGATTTAGCGCTTTGGAATTGATGGGGTTGGGTTTTTAGAACTGCATTTGGGAGTAATTCTTTGTTTGTTTTCTGAGAATTGTGGGGAAAACAAAGATGAACTTCTAGAATTCATGTTTTATTCATGGAGGCCTGTTTTATTGCTGTGCAGTTTGATTGGAAACCCTGAACACCAAAAGGTGAGCTTAGTTTAATTTGTGTTTGATGGGGTTGGATTTCTACAAGTTTGTTGGTTTGCCAAGAAACGTGAGAGAGAAAAGTGAACTTTTACCATTTCTGTTTTGCTTATGTGGGCTGATCTCATTACTGTTGTACTCAATTTGAAACTCTGAACACCAGAAGAGAGTTTAGTTTTGATAGTTCTGCTGTGCGACGTGAAATCTAAAGCTAATTTGCGACGGGTTTTAATCTAAAATGTTATACTGGCTATACTAAAATGTTACACTGGCTATACTAAAATGTTACACAATTGTTAATAATTTCGGTTACAACCGAGAATAATATATGAGTTGTAACTTTTTAGGTTGCAACTAGAATATTTATGCGTTTACATGATTTGTTAGGGAGAATGTAATATTTTCGGTTTCAACCTAAAATGTTATTCACTTTATTATAAAGAGTTACACGCTTGGTAAGTTTCTTGATTGAAGCTTTCTTTAGACCGTATATTATACTCCGTTTAATTTTACATTCAGTTTCTTGGTTACACTGATTGAAGCTTTCTTTAGACCGTATATTATACTCCGTTTAATTTTACATTCAATTTACGTTCATACGATTTGAACTTAATTTTGTGTCTTGCTTGCAGGTTGGAGGATCTGAGGTGCTCGTTTCTTCATCAGTTAGCGTAGAAGCGGACAAGGTATGCATTTGGGATGGTGAGACTTGTTTAAAACTGTGATGTAGCTCGAACGAATTCTGGAGTTAACCTCACCGGAAAAGATATTTATATGTAGTATTAGATTTCCCCTTTGATGATGATATAAGTACATCAGCTATCTTCTCATATGATTCTATTGATGCTACTAGAATGCTAGACAAAATTTTTAAGGCTCTTTTTCTCCTTGTTCCAGTTTTTTAGCTTACCGTCTCTCTTTAAGAATTGGATGATAGGTAATTAGGTATATTCTCTAAAAAGTTTATATACGTCGAATCATTATTATTGGCGATCTTCCCAGTTTTTTTCAGCGCTCATGGACTGCTGCTGTCTTATCTTTGCACATATGGTGGTGATCAAGTATTCTATTTATTGTATGTGAGATAATCTTGGTCTGATTGGCATCTTGCTAGTCAGAATAAGGCTTTCGTAGAAATGTTTTCCTTGTCGAACGGTATGAGGAAGAATGAGTAATGGTATTGATCTTATTAGCCATGAAATAAAAGGAAGGATGAATCATGGGGTCAGTGCTTGCTTGCCTCTTCTAGCCATGAAATACTATGCTGCTAGGAGAGAATTATGTAATGTGGCCTGTCAAGCACCTGAGCTGCATGTTTTTGAAGAGCAGTTTACTGTAGTTTACACGGGGTTTGCTATTATTAGCCTTTTTGGTTTTTTAAGTCGAGGAGATTCCGAGTGATTGGAAATAACTAGAAGTCCAACGATGAAGTTAAACCACGCTAGAAAATCGTATCTTCACCTTGGAGGATTGATGGTCGACCTGATCTGTTTAGTATGACCGGATAGGGAACGAGGTGGATCCTGAGGTTAAAATACCGGTTCTCCTCACTTGAACAGGACATCGTACCTGACCTTTACCAAACGTTGTAAAGAAGTCCAATGCCCCTGTTAGTAGATGCCGGTTGGCCTAGAATATTTCGTTCCTACTTATTATCATCTTTCCCGGTGTCTGCTACTGTCCTTGTGTCATGCTGGGTTCAGTGATGTGTTCTAGATTTCTGTCTTAATTGGTTATATTTTGATCTTGCTTTCTGGTGGTTAAATCGGAATATCTTATCCGTAATTCTTTTCTCAGGCGGCACCTAAGCAGAAGATTAGGATTAAACTCCGGTCATACTGGGTCCCCTTGATCGAGGACTCGTGCAAGCAGATTCTGGATGCCGCTCGAACGACCAATGCCAAGACGATGGGACCTGTGCCATTACCAACCAAGAAGAGGATCTATTGCGTCCTTAAATCCCCACACGTGCACAAAGATGCAAGGTTCCACTTCGAGATTCGGACACACCAGCGCCTTATCGATATCCTATACCCAACAGCGCAAACGATTGATTCATTGATGCAACTTGACCTTCCCGCCGGGGTCGATGTGGAAGTCAAGCTCTGAAGAAGGTAACACTGTTGGTTCAGGTAAATTTTTGTACAAGTTGCTAAAGATGTCACTTGAAAACTTCTGTCAAGATTTGCTTCATCTCTTTCCTTGTTATTTCTTCTGCAACTTGAAGAACTTCAAGAAATGCAAATATTTCAAAGTATTGAATTTGCTGAAGCCTTCTACTTTTCTGTGTTGCTGAAAATAAATCGAGGATTATTACTCGATACACGGTCGAACCCTAATAGATAATGATTACACCATATGGGAACTACTGGAAACAGACAAGGAAAATTTGCAGAAATTTGATCAAGTTCATATCTATGAATAAAGGGTTTCCCATAAATCTTGTTGACAAGCTGTATACTGGCATATACATGTGTGTATATATATATGGACTAGTATCCAATTGTATAGCGTAGAACTTTTTAATTTTACTGTCTTTTAGGATCTTTGGGGATGAGAAAAAAAATTAACGGTATGAAATGAGAATATATTCATTAAAAAAAAAGGAATCTCAGCCTTTAATTTCCCTTCATTCAACGATTTTTTCCTTTCCGATAAGACTCATCCAATAATCTTAAAAGAGTAAAAGTAATAGGTGGAATTAATATATAGGGTAAGTTTACATGCTTATTTACTGAAGTTTACTTTCTCTTTTATTTTACTCACGTACTTTAATTTTTTTCAATTTGTTCACTGAACTTTTTTTTGTCACTCGACCGTTTACTAAGTAACGGGTACTTACATGGTTTATTTTAATAATAAAACATGTAACACATTTACTCATTAATTTTACCATCTTCTTATTTCACTCACTGTACTTTTAATTTTTTCAATTTTAATTTAGCAACGTCAAAACGCCATTAGAAATTTAACGGTCGAGCGACCAAAAAGTTCAATATCTAAAGTTCATTGAGCACTTCTGTCAAGATTTGCTTCATCTCTTTCCTTGTTATTTCTTCTGCAACTTGAAGAACTTCAAGAAATGCAAATATTTCAAAGTATTGAATTTGCTGAAGCCTTCTACTTTTCTGTGTTGCTGAAAATAAATCGAGGATTATTACTCGATACACGGTCGAACCCTAATAGATATGATTACACCATATGGGAACTACTGGAAACAGACAAGGAAAATTTGCAGAAATTTGATCAAGTTCATATCTATGAATAAAGGGTTTCCCATAAATCTTGTTGACAAGCTGTATACTGTCATATACATGTGTGTATATATATAGGACTAGTATCCAATGTATAGCGTAGAACTTTTAATTTTACTGTCTTTTAGGATCTTTGGGGATGAGAAAAAAAATTAACGGTATGAAATGAAAATATATTCATTAAAAAAAAGGAATCTCAGCCTTTAATTTCCCTTCATTCAACGATTTTTTCCTTTTCCGATAAGACTCATCCAATAATCTTAAAAGAGAGTAAAAGTAATAGGTGGAATTAATATATAGGGTAAGTTACATGCTTATTTACTGAAGTTTACTTTCTCTTTTATTTTACTCACTGTACTTTTTTTTTTTCAATTTGTTCACTGAACTTTTTTTGTCACTCGACCGTTACTAAGTAACGGGTACTTACATGTTTTTTAATATAAAACATGTAACATTTACTCATTAAATTTTACCATCTTTCTTATTTCACTCACTGTACTTTTAATTTTTTCAATTTTAATTTAGCAACGTCAAACGCCATTAGAATTTAACGGTCGAGCGACCAAAAAGTTCAATATCTAAAGTTCATTGAGCAGATTGAAAGTACCGATGAGTAAAATAGGTAAATAAGAGAGAGATTAAAGTTTAGTGAGTAATAATGTAATTACCCATATATATATATATTATATATATATTATGTATTTGTAGCATTTCCATGCAGTTTCATGGGGGAAATGGTGGATGGCAGAACTGGATATGGATACTTAAACTAGTAAGAATGTCTTCCTTCCTTGTTCCCAAAGCAAAGATGCTTTTCGATTTGGTCATCTGCATATCGGTTTTCTCTATCTTATTTGAGTGTGGAAAAGATCAACACCCACTTTCTAAGACGTCAAAGTCTAGGAATTGATGACCTCTTGTTTGGCAGCCTGGAAAGTGACAACCTCAAAGAAAGTTTATTCATTGTATTAAAAAAGAAGGGTTCGATGTTAATTGAAATCCGGAGCGCGATGTCTGAGGATGAATGGAGAATCTCGTTGGGACAATCGCACATTTTAATTTTTATTTAATCATATTTATATTAATCGTTATTTCACATGACAACTTGGAAAAAAATGTGTAAACGTACGAGAACATTGAAGTAATTGTCGAAAACAAAAACCCCACAGAATCTTAATTAAATGCCGACAAAACGTGCATAATAAAAATATTAGGAGAGTACTTGGTAGTTGACTGACTGCCTCTTGTTAATGTTTGTGTTCAACGGCTGAACCCCATCACGTTGAGGTATGGATAGAGAAGACTAAATTATCTTATTTCGATCGATGAGATTGGTTTTAGCGTTAATAACTCGGTATCGTTTAAGTATATTTCGAATCATTAGATTTGTGAGACTAATCGATCTGAATTAATCAAGACAAATCTTGAAAAACAGGAAGACAACAAAAAAAATTATTTGATTTCGATGATTTTCAATCCGATTAATTAGGGATGGGCACGGGTCGGGTTTCGGCCAACCCGACCCGAAAAATTATACACCCTCCAATAGATCGAAATCCGACTTGACCCGAAATGATAAAAATATTATTTTTTTCAATTAAATTCGTATTTTTATTGAATAAAATAATATTTTAGGGATATTATTGTAATTATCTCTAAACATATACAGTAAAATTATATTTTTTTCCCGGGTCGGGTCGGTATTTTCAACCTAACCCCGAACATAACCCGAACATCATCTTTAAAAACCCGACTCGACCCTATCAGGTCGAAACACGTCGAGTTCGAGTCACATGCCTATTCCTAGGTGTAATATTAAAATAGTTTAATTGATAAAAAAATTGAGTTCAAATAAGGTTTACTAGTTTTATTATTATTTAAATAATAAAACCGATAAAAAATTACCTAAAATATCATTATTTATACCTAAAACACCAATTTTTTTAACATTTCCGGTAAAAATGCCCAACAATAACAAAACCGGTAGCGCCTAATATGTTTCCGATCATTTTTACCGATTTTTTATTTAAACAATAACAAACCGGTAGCGTCTTATTTTAGCCTTATATTAAGGTTGCCGCACGTGAGCATTTTCCGTAATTTTCTCAAGATTGTTATATAAACTTTAACCCCCACCACGCTAAAATTATTAATTTCATGTATATGATTAGTATTGAAGACACCGTTCAAGAAAACCATTTTATGTATTTATATCTTCAACTCAGAGACGGACGCATAATTTTATATAGAGAGACGACTAAATTCTATGGGGATAAATTAAAATTTTAAGATAACGAAATATTTTAATAAAAAATATTAAAAATTAAAATAATATAATTTTAAATTGGGTAAATTACACAAATCATCAATGTACTTTACTCTCTCTCCCTATTTAACTCATCATACTTTCAATTTTTTCAATTTGCTCACTGAACTTATACATTGAAAAAAATTGGCCACTCTTCCGTATCTCTCTAACATCATTAACGCAGACCACCATCGACCACCGCAGATGGTGGTCGTTTGGTCTCAAATTTCATGGGTCGCTTCACCTCGACCCCTGATCAGAATCTGATGGTTATTTTACCGAAAAATATCTCAACCTGTGAATATGGATCGAAACATTTCAGCTTCCACACTTTTAATCTAAAAATCGTGGACTTCGGAGCAAGTTCCGATAAAATTGAGGTCGGATTCAGACTCATGGCGTCAAGATGAAGCGACCCATGAAATTTTAGACCGAACGACCACCATCTGCGGTGGTAAAAAATGGTCGGCATTAATGACATTGGAGAGATAACGGCAAAGTGACCAAATTTTTTCAGTGTATAAAGTTCAGTGAGAAAATTAAAAAAATTGAAAGTACAATGAGTAAAATAGGAGAGAGAGTAAAGTAATTTACCCTTTTAAATTTTAGGTTTTTAGTTAAACCCTTGGAAGACAAGTTTCTGACCACTGAATCCCAAGTTTCTGCATGGTGTGCGCTGACGACGACGCTCTTCGGCCTTTTCTTTTGGGTCAGCCAAAACCTAGTGGCCATAATGTAATGTGAATCAACTACAGAAATGCTGGCTGGAAAGATTTTCCCATCTTTTTCCTCTTTTGGTCCCTACCGAATACAAATTTACTATTGCGGTACGTGGAAATTAAGGATTTTTTTTTTGAAAATTATGATAATGGTCTTGTTTTTGATTCCATTGTTTTGTTGCAATTATGGTAATAATAGTTGTTAATCTGATTATTATAAATATTATAATTAAGTAATAATAATTTCGATTATAAATGTTATTCAAAGTCAAAGATCAAACCTTTTCACTAACCTTTCCATTGTGTTTCAGTGCTTTCCTCTCTAGTTCTCTCCGCCTCCAAGCTTGCTCACCACGTATATCTCTTCCCCAAGTAGCTTTCCTTTTTACTTTCTCTTTTGACCTCATTCATATATAAACACACAACCAGAAGCTTTCAAGTTTCAAACCCAGTTTTCTTCGGTTAAAGCTCTTTGAAAAATGGAACTTTTTGCTTCATTTCTACTAATGAGTTCAGCTGCAAATTTTGATTTTCTGACTAAACCCAGTTTTCTTCATGGGTTTTCCGCTTCGTTACACTCTGTTTTTGTTGCTTTTAATGGTGGTTTCATGGGTGGTGAGCAGAGTTAAAAAGCTGGAGAGGAAGGTTCGAAGGAGACATTAAGGCAAAGACATGTCTCATGGTATAAGCAAGCATTAGCTTGTTGTTTTTTGTTTCAGCTTTTAATGCCGTCTCTTGTTTGTTAAGTTATTTTTATTGGTATAGAAATGGTTGGTCTGAGAATAAATTGTTAGTCTTTTTGATTATGCGGCGAAAACTTGCTTGGGGAGCAACATGTGTATTTACACTGCCAGTTCTCTCGTTCTGGTGAACAAAGTGGTTCCCATTGTTGTTGAGATTTGGTGGGCTTTTACATTCAATTTCAATTCATGCTATTTCTTGTTATAGACATTGTTCTCTTTCAAAGAACATGTTTCTTTCCCAAACCAGGATTTAGTGTCCGGTGTTTTTTTCTTTTATTACTGGTTTGTTTCTGTGTACTGTTGGGTCTTTAGGAAGAAGATGAGGGTGAAGATACCCTCCTAGAGGAGCGCCTTCTTAATGAGATACTGGTTTTAGTAACGGTGTAGAGCTTAGCAATAGAAAAGGGGGTGACACTGTGACCCCATACTCAATGCTGGTCTTTTCAGCATTCTTACATTTTCATGGATGGGGCCTCTGATTGCTGCTGGCAATAAGAGCCATTACCTCGAGGATGTTCCTCGCTAGACATCGATGATAGTGTGTTGGGGTTTTTCCAATTTTAGGAACAGGCTTGAGTCAGCTGATAGGAGGGAATGGTGTTACCACTCTAAGCTGGTGAAGGCACTCTTCTCTCGGCTTGGAAAGATATTCTTTGGACGGCTTTGTTCGCATTTACGTACACGGTGGCTTCGTATGTCGGTCCGTACCTCATCGACACTTTCGTTCAGTATCTGAACGGGAAAAGGGAGTTTAAAACCCAGGGGTATCTTCTAGTTGCCGCTTTCTTTGTGCTAAGGTAGTAGAGTGTGTGTCTCAGAGGCGCTGGTTCTTTAAGTTGCAGCAGGTTGGAATTAGGATGAATGCAGTATTGGTGGCAATGATATATAACAAGGGATTAACGCTTTCGTGCCAGTCGAAGCAGAGCCACACGAGCGGGGAGATTATCAATTTCATGACTGTTGATGCCGAAAGGGTGGGTGACTTTAGTTGGTACATGCATGATCCATGGATGGTAGTTGCAGCAGGTTGGAATTAGGATGAATGCAGTATGGTGGCAATGATATATAACAAGGGATTAACGCTTTCGTGCCAGTCGAAGCAGAGCCACACGAGCGGGGAGATTATCAATTTCATGACTGTTGATGCCGAAAGGGTGGGTGACTTTAGTTGGTACATGCATGATCCATGGATGGTAACTTTGCAAGTGCTTTGGCCTTGGTGATCTTGTATAAGACTTGGACTAGCATCCATAGCTGCTTTCGTCGCTACTGTTCTGTTATGTTGGCAAATATTCCTTTGGGGAGAATGCTGGAGAACTTCAGGATAAATTAATGGAATCAAAGGATACAAGGATGAAGGCAACTTCTGAAATTTTGAGGAATATGAGAATCCTCAAACTTCAGGGGTGGGAAATGAAGTTTCTCTCCAAGATTTTCGGGCTCAGGAACGTCGAGGAAGGATGGTTAAAACGATTCGTTTATACAAATGCCATGACTAGTTTCGTTTTCTGGGTTGCACCCTCCTTTGTGTCTGTAGCCACTTTTGGTGCTTGTGTGTTTTTAGGTGTCCCGCTCGAGTCCGGCAAGATCCTGTCTGCACTTGCAACATTCAGGGTTCTGCAGGAGCCAATTTACAACCTCCCTGACACAATTTCAATGATAGCTCAGACAAAGGTGTCCCTTGATCGAATTGCTTCCTTCCTACGCCTTGATGACTTGCAGCTGATGCCATTGAGAAGCGTCCAAGAGGAAGTTCCGATATAGCAGTTGAGATTACCGATGGGAACTTCTCTTGGGACTTGTCATCCCCCACTGCAACACTAAAAGATATAAATTTGAAAGTTTTCCATGGTATGAGTGTTGCTGTTTGTGGTACGGTTGGCTCCGGCAAGTCGAGTTTACTTTCCTGTGTTTTGGGGGAATTAACCAAGATATCAGGAACCCTTAAGTTGTGCGGTACAACGGCCTATGTTGCTCAATCGCCTTGGATACAAAGTGGCAAGATGTAGACAACATTTTGGTAAGGAAATGGACATAGACATGTATGACAAGGTGCTCGAAGCTTGTAACCTCAAGAAGGATCTCGAAATTCTCTCTTTCGGTGATCAGACAGTTATAGGCGAGAGGGGGATCAACTTGAGTGGTGGACAAAAGCAGAGAGTACAGATTGCGCGTGCTTTATACCAGGACGCTGATATCTATCTGTTTGATGATCCTTTCAGTGCCGTGGATGCTCACACCGGATCTCATTTGTTTAAGGTAACTTCTTCTTCTGATCATATGGCATGTATGTTAAGAGTTCTTCTACTTGGTTAGTGCTTTCCTGAGTATCTTGTTGATCTTTTGAATGACAGGAGGTTTTACTGAACATGTCGAAAACAGTGATTTTTACTCATCAAGTCGAGTTTTTACCTGCTGCTGATCTGATTTTGGTGAGCTATGTACATTGCATCGGATTCGAGAAACGGTTTAAGAACTGGATTTAACCTGTCTTGTATATTTGTTAGGTAATGAAAGATGGGAGGATTGTGCAAGCAGGAAAGTACAATGATATTCTCAGTTCGGGGACTGATTTTATGGAACTTGTAGGTGCACATAATAAAGCTTTGTCAGCCCTTGATAATGTTGAAGTAAGATCTATTTCCGAACGAACTACGAGTGAAGTAGAGGTGCTATGGGGAGTACTAATGGGAAATTTAAGAAAGAGGAAAACCAAGGCAACGAGAGTGGTAAAGTAGATGATGTTGGGCCTAAAGGACAGCTTGTTCAAGAAGAAGAGCGAGAGAAAGGAAAAGTCGGGTTTTCGGTTTACTGGAAATACATCACAACAGCATATGGAGGAGCTCTTGTGCCTTTGATATTGCTGGCACAGATTCTCTTCAGATTTTTCAAATTGGCAGCAACTATTGGATGGCTTGGGGATCACCTGTGTCGGCAGAAGTAAAGCCTCCTGTTAGGAGCTTTACACTTATAATGATCTATTTCGCCTTGGCTATTGCAAGCGCCTTTTCCATCTTTGCCAGAGCCATGCTTCTTAATACAGCCGGATATAAAACAGCCACTCTTCTTTTCAAGAAGATGCATTCTTGCATTTTCCGTGCTCCTATGTCGTTCTTCGATTCCACACCAAGTGGAAGAATCCTCAACAGAGTAAGTATCTGATGTTTTCCTGTATGCATACCGAAGATTCCATTTATGTTCAATGGCATTTTCTCCTTGTTTTTGAAGGTCTATAACCGGTTTTCCTGCTTCGTATAGGCTTCTACGGATCAAAGTGCAGTCGATATGAACATCCCGTATCAAGTCGGGGCATTTGCTTTTTCGGTTATCCAGCTACTTGGCATCATTGCAGTCATGTCTCAAGTCGCTTGGCAGATATTCGTCATTTTCATTCCAGTGATTGCTACCTGCATTTGGTATCAGGTAAGTTGCTGAACTGTGGCTATGTAATGCATGAGATCATAATCTCCAATCTTGCCTTGGTGCTGAACACATGAATTCTCGTATCTCGCAGCAATATTACATATCTTCTGCTCGAGAACTTTCGCGGCTGGTTGGAGTATCCAAAGCTCCATTAATACAGCATTTTGCTGAAACAATTTTAGGAGCAACAACTATAAGGAGCTTTGATCAAGAAAAAAGATTTCAAGACACAAACATGGAACTGACCGACTCGTATTCTCGTCCAAAAATTTCACGTTGCTGGTGCAATGGAATGGCTGTGCTTCCGTCTGGACTTATTGTCTTGTATTACTTTCGCCTTCTCGTTATTCTTTTTAATCTCTTTACCGGAGGGAGTTATCGATCCCGGTAAGTAAATGCAGATTCAGATTGGCATCTTTAACAACTAATGCTCCAGGAGAATGACTTGATGCATCTTCTTTTGTTTAGCGATTGCTGGGTTAGCCGTGACGTATGGACTCAATCTAAACATATTGCAAGCTTGGGTGGTATGGAATATTTGCAATATGGAGAACAAAATTATATCTGTTGAGAGAATACTCCAGTACAGTAGTATCCCTAGTGAGCCTGCCCTTGTGATCGAAACGAATCGCCCGGACCATCGTTGGCCATATCATGGAGAAGTTCAAAATTCATGATCTGCAGGTAAGGCAACTTGCTGTGTTTATGACTGGTTCTAATATATTGACAGTATTGCCCTCGAAATAAACGATGATGGTCTCGATGTAGGTACGATATGCCCCACACATGCCACTCGTCTTGCGAGGTCTCACGTGCACATTTCCTGGAGGATTGAAAACCGGCATTGTAGGGAGAACAGGCAGTGGTAAATCAACTCTCATACAAACACTTTTCCGGATCGTTGAACCTACTGCAGGGCAGATTATAATTGACGGTGTCAACATCTCATCGGTCGGACTTCTTGATTTACGGACACGACTCAGCATCATCCCTCAGGAGCCTACCATGTTTGAAGGGACTATACGAAGCAATTTGGACCCTCTTGAAGAGTACACAGATGAACAGATTTGGGAGGTGGGTTCATTAGTAATCTCTGTCATTTTCCTTGTCATTGGTATTTGAAGTCTAACATCTACCAATGCGTGTTTAATTTTCAAAGGCATTGGATAAGTGCCAACTCGGGGATGGGGTTCGATTGAAGGAAGGTCGGCTCGATTCTTCAGGTTCGATATTCTATCATATAACTTGTAATACAAGTTAATACTCATTCCTTTTGCATCATACTCCATAAATTGTTTAATATGATGATACTTGTGCAGTTAGTGAGAATGGAGAGAATTGGAGCATGGGCCAAAGGCAGCTAGTTTTGTCTCGGTCGTGTACTTTTGAAGAAAAGCAAGATCTTAGTGCTCGATGAAGCAACAGCATCGGTCGATACAGCCACCGATAACCTAATTCAGACAACGTTAAGGGAGCACTTTTCCGACTGTACGGTCATAACAATTGCTCACCGAATAACTTCGGTTCTCGACAGTGATATGGTTCTTCTTCTAAGTCATGGTTAGTAGTGATAGTCTGCAGCTTGTAAGATAGATTCTCCAGAGCTCATTTCATTCAAAACTTTTTAAACTGTTTGCAGGACTTATCGAAGAATATGATACCCCATCGTGTTTGCTCGAAAACAAGTCTTCATCGTTTGCGCAGCTCGTAGCCGAGTATACCGCGAGATCGGATTCGGGGTCTGAGAAGTCGGACCGAATTAGATGATGATGATGAAAATTAAGTGTTGCAAATCAGAATGTTAATTTGTAACAGTGGATGTTGTCCAGTGTTTCGTGCCAGTTTCTTGGCTCTGATGAACGTTTTCATATGAACCAACACATTATTGAGGGACCAATCCACCAAATTTCCATAAAAAATAGTCTTGAAACCCATGTGCATCCATACTGATATGTGCACCAAAAGCCCAGAACCAGGGATTAAAATTATAATTTTAAGAAAGTTTTTACGAATTTAAAATTATCATAATAATAAAATTAATCCTTAATCTTTGCACAAATAATTATTTTAATCTTTATTTTTCAAGTATTTTAGCTCTAAACATTTTATATTTTGATAAAAGTAATATTTAGACAAAAATCATTCAATGACCAACAACCAACGTATGTTGTTGATGTGTCATTTTTACATGAGTTTAATTATTGATATAATATATAACACATCATTAAATTAATAATGTATCACATGCCACATCATTAAAATAATGATGTGATATGTACTATGTCATATGAAGTGATAAAATATTATATGTCACGTCATTTAAAACGATAATATATTATGTATCATATCATTTAAAATGATGATATGACATATATTATATTACATAAAATGATGATATATCACATGTCACGTCATAAAAATAATTTTTTCTTAGACACGAATCATCAAAATAGTTACATGACATGTCATATGTCATGTAGATTGATTATATAACACGTGCAATGTCACTAGTTAAGTATGTATAAAAATAATATGTCAATAGCGTGTTGATCCTCAATAAATTAATGATTTTCATCTAACATAGATTATTTTGATAAAAATTAAAATATTAAGAGCTAAAATATTAAAAAAGGAATATAAATCAAAGTGACTATTTAAGTATACATCGGAATTTATTTTATTATTATCCCTTCAAAATTTAAAGAATTAATATTTTTTCCGATCGTTTTTTTAAATCAATTTCAAATTTAATTATTTAAGAGACATTTTAAATTCGAG